CATGTACTTACTTGAGAGAGCCCTTGTTTTATACTTTCCTTTGGTTTGAATTATACGCACATCTTGTGACTTTGCAAAGGCTGAACATCGCTGGTAGCTGAAGACAACACTGAACGTGATGCGTGTATATAAAAACAGGAAACAAGAAGCAAATACGTTTAAACCGACTGTGCACTGTCGACACGATAATTAGATAAACCAAAGTCTCGTTGTGTTAAACAAGCAAAAACCCACACTGTAGTGTAAAGTGATTATTTCGCACGCTCTCTTTGCTCTCAACAGCACGTGAATAAATAAGGGTCTCTCTTATATGTGTTTCCTCAGCGTCATTCATTCATCAAAATAATCTCCCCGGTTCAATCTCAACTCATCCATTCCATTTCCTAATGGCGAAAAAACCCAACACACCCACATGCCGCCATCATCATAACAGGCGTCGAGGTTTTTGAGACGACCCCTCTATTTGGCCGTGATTGTTGAAGTGAAGCAAAGAAATAGGGGAACTTGACGTGAGTAATGCCGTTAGGGCTGTGACCTTTACTGCGGGATCGTATAGCAAGGGTTATTATCTTCTTTTTGAATACACAAGTAACCTGGGACAATGTGGGAGTGAATTGTCTGGGAGTGTACGTAAGGCGATCTTCGGTAAATAGAGAACTTTGTAAGCTGCAAGTATCAACTTCTTTTTTCCACGCACGAGGAAAGCAGGAAAAGTCATGGTGATATTTACATTTGTTTTAATGCCGCGCCTAAATTGGAAATCTCTACAGACATTAACTTGTTAATTACCATACTGATGAGTTATAAATATATCAACCACGTGTTAATTCTTGTATCAAGGAACTTCGTTCGCCTAGACATACAAGGCTGTCACCATAGTGACACGGACAAGGTCTCGACATGATGTCCATCGACACTTATAGTCAGTCCTCTGTACGATGTATTGCCATACTATCACTTTGTGTGTCATGGCAGCATATTTATGTGCCTATCGATAGAATTAATATACCCCCTTGAAGCGATAGAAAATATTCTACTGGCATATATTCCATACACATTTTGATGTCTAAATTTTCGCCATTCTTCAATCAGAAGTAATGTATTCCAGAAAGGATATTTTTTATGTTTCCAAGTTAAATAAAAATCTCAGAAAAAGTTGTACAGTGCCGTCTCACTAGTCCGGAAATCCCGCTAATCCGGACATTGGTAGTCAAGAAATCTCGCCTCAGGGACAATTACTGTGAAGAATGTCAAATCATGTTTACATGAGCATCGATATATAGTTCAAGGGAACATCGATATATAGTTAAGGGGAGCATCGATATATAGTTCAAGGGAACATCCATATATAGTAAAGGGGAGCATCGATATATAGTTCAAGGGAACATCGATATATAGTTAAGGGGAGCATCGATATATAGTTCAAGGGAACATCTATATATAGTTAAGGGGAGCATCGATATATAGTTCAAGGGAACAACGATATATAGTTCAAAGGAACATCCATATATAGTTAAGGGCAGCATCGATATATAGTTCAAGGGAACATCCATATATAGCAAAGGGGAACATCGATATATAGTTCAAAGGAACATCATATATAGTAAAAGGCAGCATCGATATATAGTTCAAGGGAACATCGATATATAGTAAAGGGGAGCATCGATATATAGTTCAAGGGAACATCTATATATAGTTAAGGGGAACATCTATATATAGTTCAAGAGAACATCCATATATAGTAAAGGGCAGCATCGATATATAGTTCAAGGGAACATCTATATATAGTTCAAGGGAGCATCGATATATAGTTCAAGGGAACATCTATATATAGTTCAAGGGAGCATCTATATATAGTCAAGGGGAGCATCGATATATATATACTTCAGGGGAACATCTATATATAGTTAAGGGGAGCAGCGATATATACTTCAAGGGAACATCTATATGTGGTTATTCCGAACGTCTATATATAGTTTCAGTGAACATCTATGTCGAATGAAAGGGAACATCTGTATATTGTGAAAGGGAACGTATGTTTATTGCTCAGGGAAATAAATCTATATATATTTATAGGGAACATCAGATATAGTCAAAGGAAACATAATTATGTTATCGTTGAGAGGAACATCTATGTGTGTAAAAGGAACACACACACACACACACACACACACACTTGTGTGTATATATTTACTTATACGGAACATCTGTATATAGTTAAAGGGACCATACGAATACAGATAAAGTGAACATCTGCATATATACTCACCGACAAAAGAAACGTGAATACCATACATATTGGTTATTATTATTATTAGGCGTGAGCCTAGGCCAATATTTTTCTGCTAACCTAATATGACACCGTATACGGCAACTAAAGACACCATAACGAATTTATTATGCCGAAAACTTTACACTATTTGGCATCTTTGTCGCACATGCCATATCAAAATAAAAACCTAACACTTACAACCTAAGACGTTAAGGGTCAAAGGCCTAGGGAGACTACTCTTCAAACCTCAGCGGCCAAACCTTGTTGATAATTTTAACTTTATATAATCTTTATTTAAGTCACGAACGTGATCCAAAAATACATTACGCCCTTCACATCAAAATTAATGATATTAAAACACAAAACAGTGTCGAATAACGAATTTCTGTACCAGATTTTTCATGTGCAATATTTGAGGTGGGTGTTGGAAAATCCAAAATGGCTGTTACTGACGGTATACGGTCTCATATTAGGTCTGTAGCAGCCATCTTGGACTTTTACTGACGGTATACGGACTCATGTGGGATCAGTGGTTCTGGTCTCTGATTGGTCAGTCTCACTTTGAGGCATAATAATATTAGTTATGGTGTCTTTAGTTGCCGTATACGGTGTCATATTAGGTTAGCAGACAAATATTGGGCTCACGCCTCGCCCAATATTTTTCTGCTAACCTAATATGACACCGTATACGGCAACTAAAGACACCATAACTAATAACATACTAAGACTTACTCATATTCAAGAGATATCAGATTGGTTCGACGCACAAACGAACACACTGGTATGGTGCTCGTGGGTTTCTGAGACCTGCATCACTTCGGAATTTCCTCCCACATTAAGCTGACACGCCGCGATATGACTGGAATACTGTGAAAAGCGGCGTTAAACCCAACTCACTCACTCACTCACTTAAATTCTGATCTACAACAAACTCAAAACACTGGACTCAACCCATGGCACTTCACTTAATATATTTGCCAACACCAAAGACTTCGTGTTTAATTTGGTCATGGGATTTTGTATCAAGATTAGATGTATCTTTAGTTACAGCTACAAAACCAGATATTCTTTTATCTAAAACTATGAGCCCGAATTATTTTTTGAGATAAACACCTTGCATGTACTTTGTGACTGGTTTAAAAGGGATATATAAAATAGTGCCGGATATGAACATCAATAAAACCTTCCGCTGTTGTAATAAGAGCGACTACAGACTACTACTACTACTACTGCTACTAGTACTACGCCGGTAGCCCAGTTGTCAAAGGCGCCGCTATTCGCTGTGCAGAGATACGAGTTTCGTACTTAGGATACAAGAGGAAACCTATGGTCGTGGGTGCGAATCCCGGCTCGCCCCGATTATGTTTCTAGGTTTGTCAGCACCATATCCGTGTTCGTTAGTTCCACCAAAGTGCTCAACTCTGAGACCTGCATCACTTGGGGCTTTCCTCCCACATTAAGCAGACACGGCATGATATCACTGGAATACTGTTCAAAGCGGCGTTAAACCCAATTAACTCACTCACTAACTACTACTAATACCACAACAACTACTACTACTACTACTACTACTACTACTACTACTACTGCTGCTGCTACTACAACATCCAAGTTGCTGCAGCTTCTATAGCTTAGTACGGTCAGCTAAATACGAATGCTCTCACAACCCTACAGCTACAAGACTATTGATACTTCTGTTGCCCCTGTTTAATTCGGGCCCGATATCTCTCACCAAGACGAACTAAGCTGGTGATGAGAATATTGATGGGGATAATCTTACAGTTATTTATCATCAACAGAAACTGCAACAAAATGGATAGTTTCAAACAATATTCTAACAGTAGCAATTATAAAAATAAAAAAGAACATACGTTCTAATTACTGCGTCTATTGATCCCAAATGACGCTGCCCCCCTGCGGAGATATACCCCAGTATACCACACATCTTGTGTAACGAGCTGTGGGACGCCAGCTACAGAACAGTAATTACTTGCATCACCAACAGGCGTACTTTGAAAGTAGCGTCACAACACAATCATATGTCAACCTCAGAATGCTAGCTTGTAATTACAACATAAATATGCCCCGACTCGAAAACAAACAATAGCCATTTAGCAATCATTCTGAAAATAACTTACTGATATCACGTGGCCTCTGACGACTGCGCGTCTGCCTGAATAACATTTCCGGGTATTTTATTGACAAAGTAATAATAGCTAATCGTCCCCACTCCTTGAATGCCGCGACCCCAAGAGAGATATCTTCTGTGTAAATATGGTAGTTTTAAGGAGTGCCTGTTAAAACAATATTGTCAAAGTTGATCGGAAGCTAATGTGAAACATATTACCGAGTGTCAAGAGGGATTCATTTAAAACCAAATTCTAAATTTTCCTTTGCAATAATTTTCGCATTTCAGTGTGTACGAATCGCTTGCTATTTGTGATTACACGGTATTTCGAATAATTGATCTCTCAGATTCCGTCAACACTACAATCTCGGCTTGTGACGTCACAATGCCCACGCTGCCCACACGTATTGATCGGTGAAAAGGATTTCAACAACCCGTCTTCGCTGTAGTTCCCCACCGCGGCATGGGATGTAATTATATTTCCATTAGCAGCATTTTCATATTAGAACACCGCCTCGATCTAAGGTGCTTTAGCGCTTTCGTCATACCGACGTCACAGCGTCATGCATATGTATCGATTGCTGTGACGTCACGCGACCTCATGAATAATAAACAGGCACCTGCCATATTGGTCTTGGAGTCGTGTGCCATATTTCTCGTTCAAAACATGCCTGTTTCAAACTGAATAGGATCTTACGTTTACCCTTTTCTTTTAAGAATGTGGAACTGAAGCTATGAAAGAAGTCAGCCGTGTGTTGTTCCTGGCGGCTTTGGCCGTTTTGGGGCAGAAAACCAGCTTTGGGTTGGGTGCTCAGATACAAAGCCCGTTTCCTTTAGGCACCATCGGTAAGTCCAAGAACATATGAACTACAATATGATGTTATCATATGGATGCTGTGTGTCGTATTTCAGGTGTCTCGTGGATTACTATTCGGATATACTTGAATGAAGGAAAAATTCCACTCAGTGAAACAACATATGTGATTCGAGCCGTGTATTATGAGCCCATATCGCATAGTACAAGCTGTCATTGACACTCGGAGTCTATGGCAACCAGATGATGCTATGTAATTTGAAATAGCAATTGTCGTTATTGTTCGTATCATTGTGTTTTGACATCGTTCTTGGGGTCCAGTAATCATATGTGGGTTTCATTATGTTTAACCTAGCTGTTGTTACATTTATACACCCGTATGTATTTTGTACTGTTAGTAAATAGTCTGATGTATGAGACGCCATTGTAAAGTATTTCCCTTGTTTATCGATGGGAGGTTGGTTGTCCTAATTTCATACTAACCTGTCACCCACCCTTGACCTTTGTCCCCACCCTGAATGGTTGTGTGTGTAACACCCTTTGTTGATATCAGTGATGTTGAAACGCTGAACTCGTGTGTTGCCACATAGCACAGTACAACACTACTGTCACAACAGCCCATATGTTCCATAAGATGTAAATACAATATACGACATATTACAGTTTGACTTGAGCATATTTTTGATAGGATATTAAGGCTTAAATTTGATAAATACTGCAAAGACTCTGACCTACATAATATGAGTAAAATATTTGCAAAGGTATTTGTTGAACATGACCATGACTATATTTGTATGTTTCGATTATATTCTCATATGCTTTTTAGAATATTACTGTTTACTTTTTATTTATATAATTCAGTCCATGTATGTGCATCAGTAAAGCATATCCAAATATATAAAAGTAACATTTGTCCTTCAGAATCACATATTGGAATACATCATATATACCATATATATTATACTTACTATCAGATAGCATTTTTTTATTTATTTATTTATATATCTTACAAACCCACTGTCACCCTCTCCACCTAAAATGCTTCCATCCACCAATTCATCCAAACACTCACTCACCCATTCATTAAAGCAATCACCCAGCAAGTTATCATAACATTCATCCATCTATTCATCCAGACACATACACACTCACACATCCATTCATCTTAGGACCCATCAATCCATTCTTCCAGACACATACCCACTCATGCATCTAGAGACCAAGCCATCATCCCACTGAAGAGACCCAGCCACCCATCTCACTCATTGATCTAGAGAACCCGTCAACCCATCCACCCATCCCACTCATTGATCTAGAGAACCGATCCACCCATCCATTCATCAAGACACCTTCCCACCCAAAAGTCTAGAGACCCACCCATCTATTCTTCCAGATACTTATTCAAGCATTTATTTAAAGACCCACCCATCCTCCCACTCATTTATTTAGAGACCGATCCACCCATCCCACTCATTGATCTAGAGAACCCATCCACCCATCAATTCATCAAGACACCTTCCCACCCAAAAGTCTAGAGACCCACCCATCTTTTCTTCCAGATACTTATTCACACATTTATTTAAAGACCCACCCATCCTCCCACTCATTTATTTAGAGACCCAGCCACCCATTCCACTCATTTATTTAGAGACCCAGCCACCCATCCCACTCATTCATCTAGAGAACCCATCCATCCATCAATTCATCAAGACACCTTTCCACCCAAAAGTCTAGAGACCTAGCCATCCATTATTCCAGACACTTCCCCCCCTCATGCATCTAGAGACCCAGCCATCCTCCCACTCATTCATCTAGAGAACCACCCATTCTTACTGACTTACTGACTGACTCCCCACACCCACTCATCCCAACACCCAACTCACCCATCCACCCATTCATCCTGACACCTACCCACCTAATAAACCAGACATCCACCCAGAGATCAACCCACCCATTCATCCAGACTCCCACCTACACATAAATCTAAAGATCAACCCACCCATTCTTCCAGACTCCCACCTACACATAAATCTAAAGATCAACCCACCCATTCTTCCAGACTCCCATCTACACATATATCTAAAGATCAATCCACCCATTCTTCCAGACTCCCACCTACACATATATCTAAAGATCAACCCACCCATTCTTCCAGACTCCCACCTACACATATATCTAAAGATCAACCCACCCATTCTTCCAGACTCCCACCTACACATATATCTAAAGATCAACCCACCCATTCTTCCAGACTCCCACCTACACATATATCTAAAGATCAACCCACCCATTCTTCCAGACTCCCACCTACACATATATCTAAAGATCAACCCACCCATTCTTCCAGACTCCCACCTACACATATATCTAAAGATCAATCCACCCATTCTTCCAGACTCCCACCTACACATAAATCTTAAGATCAACCTACTCATTCTTCCAGACACCCAACCACACCATCAATCCATTCATCCAGACACCCTATCAACTCACCAGTTCTTCCAGACACCTACCCTCCCATTAATCTAGAGACCCATCCATTCTTCGTTACTCCCCCATGCACACTCACCCATCCATTCATCCTGACAACCCGTCCCTTCACCCTGACACCTTCCCACCTATTCATCAAGAGATCCAACCACCTTCCCCTCTTTCCAGACTCCCTTCACACTCCCACATCCACTCATCCATTCATCCACACACAACCACCAATCCATTCATCCATACACATCCACCTACCCATTAATCTAGAGACCCACTCACCCACTCACCCATTCATTAAGTGATTCAGACACCCACCCATACACACACTCATTCATTTATTTAGACACACACACCCATCCATTCATCCAGACACCTACCCATCCATAAATCTAGAGATCCACCCTCCCATTCTTCCAGACACCCACCATCCGTCCATCCAGACATCTACCTACCTATTCATCCAGACACCTACACACCCAGTCATCAGACACCCACCCATTCACCAGACACCTACACACCCAGTCATCAGACACCCACCCATTCATCCAGTCACCCTCCCACCCACCCATTCACCAAGACACTCACCCATCCATTCATGCAGACACTCACCCATCCATTCATCAAGACACCCACCTATCCATTCATCAAGACACCCACCTATCCAATCATCAAGACACCTACCTATCCATTCATCAAGATCCCACCTATCCATTCATCAAGACAACTCACATATCCATTCATCAAGACACTCACCTATCCATTCATCAAGACACCCACCTACCCATTCATCAAGACACCCACCTATCCATTCATCAAGACACTCACCTATCCATTCCTCAAGACACCCACCTATCCATTTATCAAGACATCCACCTATCCAATCATCAAGACACTCACCTATCCATTTATCAAGATACTCACCTATCCATTCATCAAGTTACTCACCTATCCATTCATCAAGACATCCACCTATCCAATCATCAAGAAACTCACCTATCCGATCATCAAGACACTCACCTATCCATTCGTCAAGATACTCACCTATCCATTCATCAAGATACTCACCTATCAAGATACTCACCTATCGATTCATCAAGACACCCACCTATCCATTTATCACGACACCCACCTATCCATTCATCAAGGCACCCACCTATCCAATCATCTAAAAACTCTCATTCATTCATCCAAACACCCACCACTTTGTCAAGACACCCTCCCTCCCATCTTTCCATCCATCTTGCTCCTGCCACCCCCAATCCATTCACAAAAGAACTAACACCACTCCATCCAAACATCAACCCAACCATCTGTTCATCTGAACACCCACATACCACTCCATCCAAACATCAACCCAACCATCTGTTCACCTGAACAACCACACAGCACTTCATCCAAACATCAACCCACCCATCTGTTCATCATAACACCCACAAACCACTCCATCCAAACATCAACCCACCCATCTGTTCTTCTGAACACCCACACACCACTCCATCCAAACATCAACCCATCCATCTGTTCATCATAACACCCACAAACCACTCCATCCAAACATCAACCCACCCATCTGTTCATCTGAACAACCACACAGCACTCCATCCAAACATCAACCCATCCATCTGTTCACCTGAACAACCACACACCACTCCATCCAAACATCAACCCATCCATCTGTTCATCATAACAACCACAAACCACTCCATCCAAACATCAACCCACCCATCTGTTCTTCTGAACACCCACACACCACTCCATCCAAACATTAACCCACCCATCTGTTCTTTTGAACACCCACACACCACTCCATCAAAACATCAACGCACCCATCTGTTCTTCTGAACAACCACACACCATTCCATCAAAACGTCAACCCACCCATCTGTTCATCTGAACACCCACACACCACTTCATCAAAACATCAACCCACCCATCTGTTCTTCTGAACACCCACACACCACTCCATCCAAACATCAACCCACCCATCTGTTCTTCTGAACAACCACACTACACTCGTTCCAAACATCAACCCTCCCATCTGTTCTTCTGAACAACCACACACCACTCGTTCCAAACATCAACCCACCCATCTGTTCCTCTGAACAACCACACACCACTCGTTCCAAACATCAACCCACCCATCTGTTCTTCTGAACACCCACACACCACTCCATCAAAACGTCAACCCACCCATCTGTTCTTCTGAACAACCACACACCACTCCATCCAAACATCAACCCACCCATCTGTTCTTCTGAACACCCACACACCACTCCATCCAAACGTCAACCCACCCATCTGTTCTTCTGAACAACCACACACCACTCGTTCCAAACATCAACCCACCCATCTGTTCTGAACACCCACACACCACTCCATCAAAACATCAACCCACCCATCTGTTCTTCTGAACAACCACACACCACTCCATCCAAACATCAACCCACCCATCTGTTCTTCTGAACACCCACACACCACTCCATCCAAACATCAACCCACCCATCTGTTCATCTGAACAACCACACACCGCTCCATCCAAGCATCAACC